TCTATAATTCCATTGATATGTGACGCAATAACATTATAAGAAATAGATAACTTCATATGACATAGACCTACATAAAGTGGCTCTCGAACATAATAAAAAAAATCTCGCTCAACTGATCTGGCCTGCTCCCTATTTATAATTGGTCGTAAGAATGTTATCAAAGAAAATACTATTTCGAAAAGCACAAAGTAGTAATGATCCCATATATCTTACATGTTTAATCTGTATTTATCTAACGACATTGTATTTCCTGAGTAATTTGAAATAATCTTTGGTAATCTTATTGAAAACCACACTGAATATAACACGCATGTCGGGGCGCACCATAAACGGATGATATACGATACAGGAACGAAACTTGTACTCAAGTCTGACTGACGATATCTATACAACGAAACAATCAAAACGCTCTGAAGTTTAAGGGCTTTCAGAATTGTTATTAATTTTCTTATTAAGCATTCGTATAGTGTGCAATAATTTGACGATTTCGAAGCCTAAAGCGCCTCACTCGGAAAGAAAATAAAGCACTCGCGGAAAGGCTAATGAAGAAAGATTAGTTACTGGCAAACACTAAAAGGTTGCAAGTGTGTTCCTCGAGGTAAATACAGAGATTCTTATGCGGTACTGTATCTTTAAGCATTCGAATTTCCGGCTCAATACAACAAAGGGATGATGGCTTATTTCGTAGTAGATTGTATCTTGATTTCTATTTGGACATCTCAGACAACCAATTAAGTTGTCTTAAACAATTTAAAGACGGATCTACAATTTGATTATACTGCCTTTTAGAAGCAGTATAACGATTCTATTACATTCACTAAAAATGCCGTTCTAATTCATCAATAAAGAATGCAGCAGATACTAATGAATATATTCATAGAGAAGATAATGTTTGTGCAACTAGGTTAAAATCGTGCTTTTCAAGCAGGGTTTGCATTAACTTATCTTATCATCTGACATAAGTAATATTCAAATAATCAAAGTAAATCACTTTATATATAAATGCAATATTTTTTTTCGGCGATTAGATCGTAAATGATACCACGTCTTCATTTTGCATTTGATTTATCTCGTTCCTCTTCTCTCCTATACAAACTTCTTTAAATCCATTAGTGATGGTTGTGATTATTACGAATTATGTTCAAAATTATATTCAAGAAAATATTCGTTTGATATGTTGACGTGCAATATCGGACTGATAGTGAACGTCATCCCTGTTAAGATTTTTCGTTACAATTGAAAAGCGGTTATAAATTACGTTAACAAGCCTATCATCAGTAAGCGATAATTAAATCTTCATAATTTGCAAGTACACCTAGATTAAACCATTAACATTATGGTTATTTGGATGATCATGTCTAGTCTGATTTCGATTATACTGCACTGCAATAATTTTACTGCGTTGATATTTTCACTTATTTCATTTACTTATCGCATTAAAAAAAATCCTAAAATATGCAGATGAGACTGGCTTGCCAAAAAGAAATTAAAGATCTTTGTCAAGTGGGTCGCCAAAGAGTTACTTAAAACAATTAAAATTAGCAATAGAACAAATATAAGCATTAATTTCATACCATATAAAATAAGCCTATCGAAAGATACAGTGTGATAAATACCACAGAAAAATACACAGACATATATTTTACAATGTCATTTTTTACCTACGTTAATTATATATAGACATTCATAATTATATCATTGAATAAATAAGGTAAGCAAATAGACCTATATAAGCAGGTCTAGGCTTATGTAATGCACTTCAATATATAGGCATATACCTATATAATAAGATAATCAGGACTACATATTATTATAGGTCTATTGTATATATATATATATATATATATATATATATATATATATATATCAAAATATGACAATGAAACATTTAAATGGTCAAAACAATCAAAACCGTAAACAAAAATTGTCATTTGAGAAGAAATAAACCCAAGTACAGACATCTAGGAAACACTTTTTGGTAGCATATTCTATTTAGAGATTACGAAAATTTAAATATCTACACAGCAGCTAGCAGTTAGCCCTATATACTGAAACATATACTGAAACAGCCTTGCGGTGATGATGCTTCATGAACAAATTGTTAAGGCAATAACGGGAATCTGCGACTGCGAAAAAAAATTACCCAACCGGGATACGAACCCAACATCTGCTGCTCTCAATGCAGACGCCTTACCAACTGGACTGGACCAACTGGTTTTCGTTGAAAGTTAACTAGTTGGATGCACACTCGAGCAATTGAACGCCCTCTTCTTAAGGATCTTAACCGAAAAGACGGAATCTCTGAAGAGATTGGTAAATGTTCTTATATAAGAAATAAGATAATATAAAGGTGATCATGATGATTAATATACAGGCCTAAAAATATATACGCAACATTATGGAATTCCCCTATGGGGCTTGAGTGTGTGTTCCATATGTGC